TTCTGTCAACAGAGTTGGCACCCTGTGTGTCTCCTTTGTTCATCCTTTGAATATAAAGGTTCAATTTATTGCAAGCCTGGTCTTATTCCCTGAAGAAACAGGTACAGCTGTGTCCAGCGAGACAAGGACAGATTGGCCTGCCAAGGTAACAGCAGACGATGCCCTGGGGGCAATCTGGCCACGTCAGTGGCTTCAGGGCATCATGCTCTGTGGCTAGTGAAAGGATAGTTTTAGATGATCAAGGAAAATTCTACTGTAACAAGGTAGATTCAAGGAGGTTTCTAGTCTAGTCTAGAAACTTGAAGAAAATAAGAGATGAACTATTATCTTGTTGTGTGAACTTGGGCAAGGGTCTTAGCGTCTCTTTCATCAGCCAGGCATAGGATTCAAGTGTCTGCTCTATATGTTTAGCATGGGGATTGGAAATGTCCCTAACACAGTTCTAGGCACATAGCAGCTAACTGCCCTTATTATAAAGAATTCCTAATATTTTCTCACTTCATTCTTTTCAATACTTTACTTCTCAGTGGATTTCAGCAACATTTTTATTTTGAGACCATCTGAAGGTCAAGTTTGAGAAAAGGGAAGAAACTAAATATGCACAAGAAAGTAGATGAAACTCTGATCAAGCCTGATTTTAAAAATGGCTTTAGCCAGGTGTTCATGGGATGCTCCACATTAGCACTGACTACGTGAGGTACTAGGAAAATGATGAAAATAAGAATCAGCGAAGCCAGCAATCCAAATAGCTTTGGCTGTAAACACCGACATTCCTAAAGCAGCACTTATTATTAAATTCCTCAGCTTCCACACCCATCCAGAACTCAAGATTAACTTGCTGGCTTAATTCTACTTTGCCAGGCAACTGAGAATGAAGCAGAATGTTGTTTATGCCACTTGATCATCCATTAAAATCACCAGGGGGCCTTGTTTAGTCAGATGCTGAATCCTAACCAAGTGTGGACTCTGGGAGAGTGTCTACATCTCTGTAAATTCCAGGAGACTACCATGGAGTTGGTCCAGGAACCCACTTTGAGAACCACTGAGATCGTGTTCCCTAACCCCCAGCCCAAGCAAAGTGCTGTAGAACAGGGCATTTGGACGTGGCTTTAAATCCAGGCACCTTCCTTAAACAAACCGTCCCTGTGAGGCTGAGCACTTCCATGTACTGTTATTTGTAATTTATGTGTAGGTGTGCATGTATGAACATGTGGGTATGTGACATGAGTGTAAGTGTCTGTGGAGGCCAGTGACATTGGATCCTCTGGAACCAGAGTTACAGATGCTGATGAGCCACCTGATTTGTGCCCTGCAAACTGAACTTGGGTCCTCCGGAAGAGCAAATGCTCTTAACTGCTGACTTATCCCTCCAGCTTCTTCTGTGTTAAATGGAAATCATTATATATACCTTATTAAGGTCACTGAAGAAATTTAACATGTTTGTGAGGTCTTTTGTTCATTATCTGGCACGTATTAATAAACAATCTGGTTATTTATCTTACAATGAGTTTTTATAAATCATCTGAATTTATATGTGGCCTGGATAACTAATTCTTAACAAGTAAGTCCTACAATACTGCTCACTTAAGTGACTAAAACACTTTGCAATACTTCACTAGAATTTTACTTCAGAACTCCCGTGTTCTGGGGTCAGGCTTCGGCTCAGTGGTGATGCACTTGGTTGTCATGTATGAGGCCCTGGGGTTTAATTCTTGCACAGCAAAATGAATAACTAAATAAAAATCAGATTTTCATTTTTTTTTTTTTTTAGTTTTTCAAGTTGACAGATGTGTATGTATGTTGGGGAGCGGGAGGGAGAAGGAGAGGAGTCCTTCATTATATAACTTGTTCCTCCCCCGTCTGACTCTCACTAGAAAGAGAGTTGCATGACAAGTTAGGAATTTTATCCTCCTCTGTTTTGTAGAGGGCAGTGCAGAGGTCACAGCGAGGGTGTAAATTCCAAAAAGTCTTTGTAATACATGAATATTGGGGATCTGGCCATAATGTTGTCTTCTTGTATTCAGAAGTAGCCATGCTGAGTATCTTCATGGCATAGGATCACACAAATAGAACTTCATAAGCAAGTAAAACCAGCACCTGGTTTTTCAAAATAAAATTCAGTCTATCTAAAGTAAGTCTGGGGCATGGTCACATGCATTTCAAAATGTCACCGTAGAGGTACAGAGACATATTTCAGGAAAAGGATGCCAAGCACGATTTAGAACAGAAAAGGCTCCTTGCAAACGCAGATCTCTGGCTTAACTAGATGAGCGGATGGAAGCGAATTCTGCAGTCTCCTTAAATCCTGGTGCTGTCTGTGCAGAGATGATCATGCTTAGCATGTGTAAAATGCCAAGCATTGGGCACCTAAGCGGTCCTTCCAGAACATCCAACATCGGAGGTGGGCGGATAAGGGGAGCACCGGAGCTCAGTGGTACGAGTGGACTTTAATGAAATGAAGCCAATTGGCTCTGCCAATTTATAAAGTTTATTAAGCATTGAGGGAAGAAAATTGTCTGAAGATCATGCTAAAGTGACTGATTAGACCACTTTTATGGTCTTCTCGTTGTGCACATTCTAACTTGTTAGTTCAATTTTTTTTTATTGGGGGTACTTTAAACAATGTCTGACAACATTGCAACAAATTGTTCCTTCTGACATATTGAGTCAGCAGGCTCTCATTGCTACTGTGCTGGTACATTAATTCTCCCTTCACTTTAGTGTGACAAGATAATGTTCTTTCAGGAAAATATTAGACACTTTAAAAGAGGGGAAAAGTGACCATATTAGTTCATAACAACACAGTCAATAACATTCAGTAGGAGGCTAGAAAGCCCTGTTTTAAGAGAAAACGTTAAATGTTACTTCTATTAGCAGAGATTTTTATTTAAAAGGTCAGAATATGCTATATAAGTACTTGTTAACTTTGAATTTTCTCAACACCCTTTGCCTGTCATCTTGTTTCTCCAGCATAAAATAAATAAAAGAATATTTTAAATAAAAGAATATAAAATAAAAGAATATTTATTTTATCCTTTTAGCAATATGCTCTTTCCCAGTTTACTGTCATGTTTCTAATTTATGTGCTTAAAGTCAGTAATGTGATTATTTTTTTAAAATAATTCTTCTATTGAGGGGCACCTAGTTGTTTCCAGGTTCTGGCTATTACAAATAGTGCAGCTATGAACATAGTTGAACAAATGCTTTTGTAGTATGATAGGGCATCTCTTGGGTATATTCCCAAGAGTGGAATTGCTGGGTCCTGAGAGAGGTTGACTCCCAGTTTCCTGAGAAACCGCCACACTGATTTCCACAGTGGCTGCACGAGTTTGCATTCCCACCAACAATGGATGAGTGTTCCCCTCACTCCACATCCTCTCCAGCATAGGCTATCATTGGTGTTTTGAGTTTAACTATTCTGACAGGTGTAAGATGGTATCTCAAAGCGGTTTTGATTTGCATTTCCCTGATCGCTAAGGAGGTTGAGCATGTCCTTAAGTGTCTTCTGGCCATTCGAAGTTCATCTGTTGTGAATTCTCTGTTCAGTTCAGTACCCCATTTTTTTAATTGGGTTAATTTTAATTAGAGATTTAGTGTCTAGTTTCTTGAGTTCTTTGTATATTTTGGAGATCAGACCTTTGTCTGATGAGGGGTTGGTGAAGATCTTCTCCCAGTCAGAAGGTAGCCTTTTTGTCTTACTGACAGTGTCCTTTGCTTTACAGAAGCTTCTCAGTTTCAGCAGGTCCCATTTATTCAGCCATCAAACTCATGGAAGTTGAACTGTCAACTATTAAATCACCCCTGGGTCAAGGAAGAAATAAAGAAAGAAATTAAAGTCTTCCTTGAATTTAATAAAAATAAAGACACAACATACTCAAAACTATGGGACACTATGAAAGCAGTGCTAAGAGGAAAGTTCATAGCACTAAGTGCCCAATTAAAGAAAACGGAGAAAGCACACATTGGAGACTTAACAGCACACTTGAAAGCTTTAGAAAAAAAAGAAACTGATTCACCCAGGAGGAGTAGAAGACTGGAAATAATCAAACTGAGGGCTGAAATCAACAGAATAGAAACACAGAAAATAATTCTATGTTATTCTTGAAGCTCCAGGATATCAGTGGAATTCTCAGGAAAAACACAATCCATGGCTCGCAATCACACATCTGTTAAACAGTGCACAAGAGCCGACAATCTTAATAGCATTTTCACTTACTAATCCTTTAGAGTAGCATTCCCCAAGGACAGTGGTCAACATTAATTAAACCACTCCAGAACCTCCCAACCACATCTGCTTCTGTGCGAGGTGTGATGAGGCACATACTGAGAATTATCTCTGGGAAGTAACAGTGGATGAAGACAATGGAAGTGTTCTTCTTGTTTGTATACAGGTACCTTAAAGCCTGTACTCCACAGGGTCATGGGTGTTGAAACAACTTGTTGCCCTAGAGAAGCAATGTTTCATGTGTGTAGCTTGTTATACAAAAGAAAGCAGGTGCTTGGTGGCTGTGGGGGGTTCTTCCTACATGTAGTAGAAGCCATGTTGCCTATGTGTCCTAGGGAGGGAAAACTGTTGCACTGTGCCAGGAACACAAGAAACCAGGCTGCCACAGACACACACTAGAGCTGGAGAGGTGACTCAGTAGTTAAGAGCGTCTGCTGCTCTTTCAGAGGACCAGAAGCTTCTGCCATGGACCTCTAACAGCTTCAAAGGCATTTGCTCCAGGTACTTAAATTTGCAAACACAAAACCGCTGGGATCTTCCCCGAGCTGTGCCATTGCAGTATCTCTGAGCACGCTACCTCTGGGCTGGATTCAGGTTTCCTGTTGACAAAGAGCAACTATTTAGTCACACACTGGGCCTCTGGGGACAGTGGCATTTTAAAAAACATAAACACTTCTAGATAATTGCAATAATGACCTCTTGAGATGAACATTGAGTCGAGTATATTTAAATGTAATATAAGTAAAGGTTTTGAACTGGTGAACTTTCCCTCTAGGTTGGACCCCGAGGAACCATAAGAGATTATCCAGGCTTTAGCCCAGCAGTGGATGCTGAAGCTATCCGGAAAGCAATCAAAGGAATCGGTGAGTGAAGTTTTGTAAGCCCTTTGTCTTACAGTATTGAAGCAAGCCAGGAAAGTTCCCGTCTAAGAAGCCAGTTGGCCCCATTTGAATCCTGAATGAGAGAATTTGTCAGCGGACATGTTAAAGTGTGCAGTGATGAGAGGATCATGGACAGCGAGTTTTAGTAAAGAAAGCATTTGTAATGTTGACGTAATTAAAATCGAACACCACCCCAGTGCCTTCCAACAGTTATCACCGCCATAACCACAAATTACTACAGACACAGTCCCTGGCCATTCTTCCTAGGTTTTATTTTACCCCATTACCTAGAGAAAATCATCTTCCTAAATTAGACTTTCTGCTTGTGGGCCTTGGGTACCACAGCTCCGTATGTATGTACGTACCGTCTTTTATACTTCCCACCAGGCAAACTGGAGAAGTGAGCTATACATTCCGTTGCCATTTGGTTTTATCTCTTAACATAATGTTTTTGAGATTTATTCGTGTTGATATGTTTAGCTCTAAGTCATTAATTTTAACTGCATAGTAGTCTATTGTATATTATATCATAAACTGGGAATGTTGATGAAACATTCAAATTGCCTATAATTCTTTTCTATTATGGCATGAAAGTCCTTGGTGAGTGTCCCTGCTTTAACTCCATTGTGCGCATTGGCTAGTATTTCTCCAGGACATGACAAGAGTTGTGATTTCTGGGTGGAAATTACCAGAATACTCACTTTTAAATTATCTAGAATTATTGCCAATTTATTCTCCAAAATGGTTATAAAGATTACTCTTGGGGCTGGCGATGTAGGTTAGAAATAAAGTTTTGTTAGACAAACTCAATGTCCTGAGTTCGGTCCCCAAAAACCACAGTCGAAGAAAAGAACTGACTCCATAAAACTGACTAATCTCCATATGCATGTTGTGGTGTCCCCTCATTGTGCACTCAGTAATAATTAATAATAATAATAATACATAGAACGCTTTCCACAATGCATGAGACTTTCTCTTGATCCGTGTTCCTGACTGTTTAGCATAGGCTGCACAAGTACCATGCCGTTTTCCCACAGAATTCTCCCTCCCCACTCTTTAGATACTGGTAAAGCCAAGCATCAATTTTTCTTTTTGTTTACTCTGTCGTGTATGACTCCTTCACATAGCCCTTTGGCATCGCACTGTCTTCTCCAGGGGTGCCAAGTATCATGCCACGTAGTGGCACTGTCTTCTCCAGGGGTGCCAAGAGAGGCTTTGTTGTTTAGTGGTCACTGGTTTCTGTATACAACCTTTTCTAAATAAAATCTCCAGCCATGTAATAACCAAAACCAAAACATTTCATCCAGTTTTATATTTTAGCAAAAATCAAGCTTAGTAATATTTTTCCTAGGATTCATGCCTACTGTACCTGACATTGACAAAAGAACAGAGTAAGAACAAGCCAGGGATGAAGTCTAGCGTGAGAACACGCTGTGATGTGGAGAGGCACAACTACGGGTGTCCAACTGGGCATCGGTATTGATTGATACTGTTGCAGGTCTAAGCTGGGTACCAGACTCACAGATCAAGTACAGCGCAATCTGATTCTGTAGGAAAACACAAGGTCAAAGGCAAGCACACTGGGAGGCCAACAGGCAGCCAAGCATGCAGGTTCTTTCCCCTCTCCACAGCTATAGACTGTGTAGTACAGTCACAGGCTGGGTAGAGATACCGTGTGGGTGTTACCTCAGCACAAAGAAACCTAGCCTCGAATCCCGGTTGATCTTCCCATCATTCTTGTCATGCACACCCAAGGCCTGCAGGCCCCTCAGCATTCCCATCCCCGCACAGTCCTCCAGCCAATGATGTAGACGCGGATTCCCACAGGTGTCATAATACTTTACCGAAAATTAGTGACATTGAGGACATTCTTAGACAAGCTGGCCTCAGTTCTGGCCCCATCTTAGCTTACAAACACATGCAGGTGAGCCAGATGTCATATAACTGTGGTAAACGACCTGTGATCAGTAAGATAGATTTTGGCTCGTGGTCTCCAGAGGGTTCAGTCTGTGGTACTTGCCTCAATTGATTCATTGATTCTGGACCTGTGGTAAGACCATCATGTGGCAGACTACTTACCTCCTTAACTCAAGGACGACAAGAAGGGGGGGGGGAGAGGGAGAGAGAGAGAGAGAATAACCTTTAAAGGAATGTCCCTAACGACCTACATCTTCTTGGTCCCACCCCCTGAGATGTCTTATCATTTTTTGAAATGACAGCTGGAGACCAAGTATTCAACACAGGTGTGAAGGGAGCACATTTAATATGCAAATCACAGGAAAAATCCGTGTCTGGGATGAGAGATTGTTGCATTACTTAGAAGCCATATGACTTTGGCAAATGAAATAGGCTCTCTGAGGGTTAATGTCATCTTTAGGGTGGCTTTGTCTATCCACGGTATAGGGACCCTGTAACTCTCGCTATAACAAGGAGTAAAAAGGCTCCTTATAGATAGCAGGTTCTCAATAAATCTTTCAATCCTATGTCTGTGCCCTTGAGAGGATAGAAGATCTGATGCCAGCTATGGAGTGAAAGCTGAAATTCCGTGCGAGTCACTCAGCCTTCTGAGGGTGAAGCAGGAGGTTCTTCGTGCTCCTCTCTGCATGCACAAGAGGACCAGACGAGCATTGACTGGGGTTTTTATTTTCCCATCTCCCACATCGTCCAAATAGTTAACTTCTTTTCCAAAAACAAAACAACAACAAACAGACAAACAAAAACAAAACCCAGGCAAACACACAGATTCTAGCCCGGTAAGAAGCTGTAAACTGAAAATTAAAATGCCTTACTATGTGCATGTGGTTCAGACAACTGGTACGGAGAACCCCTGGGTAATCAATGACTTTGGTCTCATTTAGGAACTGACGAGAAAACCCTCATCAGCATCCTGACAGAGCGGTCGAATGCACAGCGGCAGCTGATTGCCAAGGAGTATCAAGCGACGTATGAGCAGGTACGGCCCCGAAGAGACAGTCCCCTGTGTCTCGGGTCTTCCTCTGCGGGGCACTCGCGGATCTTTGGGTTTGGACTGAGTGTGGCAGAAGATGCCGTGTGCATCCACTCGGGAACCAGGACTCTCAGTCTTGGTTTGCATCTCACCATCGCCTTGGCTTTGGGGCTTCCGTGTCTTCACTGTGGAATGAAAAGTGTCGCCTTAGTGCAGTGGTTCTCAAACTGGGGTTGTGACCCCTTTAGGGTCAAATGAGCCTTTCCCAGGGGTCACATAGCAGATACCCTGCTCACAACTTATTTACATTGCAGTTGTGAGGTAGAAATGAAGATAATTGTAGGGTTGAGGATCACCAAACATGAGGAACTGTTTGGAAGAGTTGCAGAAATGGTTCCAAGCCATTGGTGAATCCCCTCCCTACAGGACACTTGTCCTAAAAAGGAGATTTAGTTTTTCTTGTTTTTTTTTTTGAGACAGGGTCTCGTGTAGCACAGACCAGCCTGGAACTTACAAGTAGATAGAGATTATCTTGAACTTCTGATCATCCATTGTTCAACTGTTAAGTGTTGGAATTATAGCCGGGAGTCACTAGGCCCGGTTATGTGATACCAGGGAATCAAACTCCTCTTTGTGAGTGCTAGACAAATACTCTACCACCTGAGACACGTCCCCAGCCTGAATAGAGACCTTCTGATGGCCCCACATCAGACTCGGGGTGGAGGGTGATTCCAGATGTTAGAGATCCTGTTAATCATCATACAGAATGGAGGACAGCCCTCCCACAAAGAGCTATCAGAACAGCTGTCTGGCAAAGACTGCCTTAGATAATCTTTAGTTTCTATTTTAATTTTAAAATAGTTACGTAAGCACAGGTTCAGTAAATTCAACAGATAGAAACCAACTAAGTAACCAAAAATAAATACCTAAGAACAAGACTGCCAGCTGGGATGTCTGGGATGCCTTTAATCCCAGAACTCAAGAGACAGAGGCAGTCAGATCTCTGTGAGTTCAAAGTCACCCTGGTCTACTCAGTGAATTCCAGTACAGGCCCCCAAAGAGATACAGAGGAACCCTGTCTCAGAAAGCAAAACAAAGCAAAAAGAACAAGACAGCCACACAATAGGTTTGTCATCTATTTGTTGAAGTAGTCTTGTCTCTATCGGAGACAAGCGAGTCACTGGTAGGAGAGGCAGTTCGTCCCTTCTCTTGTGGAGCTAGCATCCTATTGGAAACATAAGAAGTTAAGTCATTGGCAAGTGTGATAAAGACAAAAATGGGGTGGTGTGATGGAGGGTAACTGGTGACTGGCTCCCGTGACAGGGTGAGGAAGCAGTACCAGCAAGATGCTACTGCCTTGCTGGCCACGAGGCCAATCAGTGCCGTGTGTTTATAGATGTGTGTCATTGTGCCTGACTGTTTGTCTTTGTGGATTTTCAGATGGGATTTCACCTTGTTGCCAGTCTGGTCCAGCACTTGTATTAAAATAATCCTCCCACCTCAGCGTCTTTCCTACCCAGTGCTAAGACTACTGCATGCCACTCGGCTCTGTTTTATCTCTAAGAGTCGGTGCACAGTCTTGGTTTTATTCTACAATAGGGAGCCGTTGGAAGTATGTAAGCAAGGGAATAATATAATCCAATGTTTAGTCTTAAAAGATTATTTGGGGACCTGGAGATTTAGCTTAATGGCAGAATACTTGCCTGGCACTTCTGAGGCTCTATGTTGCATCCCCAGAATTACAAAGAAGATGGAAAGATTATTCGGGATGCTGTGGGTCATGGATTATGGAAAGGAAGGAGTACAAACACAGAGCAGTCAGGCTGTTAACTATCAGAGACATCACCCGAGAATGATCTCCAGTCCCCCCATGGTGCGGGAGAATTATCTGTATTCTGTCAATCATATTTTAATAAAACGCTGATTGGCCAGGCAGGCAGTATAGGCGGGAAAGCCAGACAGGAAGTAGGGGTGGAGCAAAGAGACTGGGAGTATTCTGGAAGCAGAAGCTCTCTCTCAGCCACTCCTGCACAGACCACCGAAGAGGCAACATGTAAGCTGTCACACTGAGAAAGGTACTGAGCCCATGTGGGTAACATAGATAAGGATAATGGGGTAATATATGTTATAAGAGCTAATAAGTAGCCTGACCAAATGGGCCAATCAGTTTATAACCTTATGGAGTCCTGTGTGTAATTTCTCTTTGGGATTTGCCGGCTGTTGGGGTACCGGGCGGGACGGAAACCCCAACAAGCCGGCCCTCATGTTACACCCCCAGGCATTAAAACTCCTTTCTCAGACACCCTTTATCACACACTAATATACTATACAGTAAAACTGAATTTCATCTTGAATACTTTTATTTTCCTGTTAAGGTAACTATTTTAGGCATAAGCATCACTTCACGGCTATCTTTTAATGTCTAGCATTGATTAGGCACCCGTGATCATGTATTCAAATGAATGAATTGTCAAGCATCTGGGCAAAAACCCGTGACATATAGATCGGTGACCCAGATGGCTCATTGACCTTTCAGAGCGCTGTAAAATGTAAAGGAAGAATCAACAGAGGCAAAGGGCAATGGCCATTTCTCACTGGGTGATGGAATGAGAGTGTGTGGGGTAAGATTTCTTTGCCGTTAGGTTGGGGACAGATGATGTAAATATTCAGCATTTATTTATTTATTTATTTATTTATCTATCTATTTATTTATTTATTTATTGCTTGTTTGTTTTTTGAGACAGGGTTTCTCTGTAGCTTTGGAGCCTGTCCTGGAACTAGCTCTTGTAGACCGGGCTGGCCTCAAACTCACAGAGATCCACCTACCTCTGCCTTCCCAGTGCTGGGATTAAATGCGTGCCTGCAGCCACCACCGCCTAGCTCAGAATTCAGCATTTGAAGAGGAAAAAAAAACTCTGCTGCAGTTATAGCAGACCGGGTGGTCCTTGGCTCCATCTCACGACCCTGCTGTGTCTGTGGAGGGCAACTTTATCATCAGAACTGCTTGAGAGGCTGCTGGCTGCCAGGCCTGAAATCAAATTGTTCCACGTTACTCCTTTGAATATTGGAAATGGGAACCACGTCCCTGCCCTGGGGGTAGGGGGCAGACTCTTATGTACTATGTGGAGGCAGTGCCAAAGGACATCAGAGTCCTGCATGGGATGCCCCAGGATCCATTAAAGGAGACTGACCAGCCACTGTCCTCCCCTTTCTTTGTGGAGCCCAGTGGGGTCTCTAAGAAACAAGGTACTCAGGAACGGTTTACCAGAGAGAGCCCTCTCCCGGCCTCCCTTGCCCTCCTTTGGAGAGCACCAAGGACCTCGGAGAAGCATTCATTCTATTTTCCTAGGTATCAGTTATTATTTTAATCATGCATGTGCGTGGCTTGGTGTGGTCGTTTGGTGCATGTGTACTATGTGTGATGTAGAGGAACAGCATTTTAATGTGCAGTCCCAAACTCCGGTGCACTTGCCAAGCTTCCTTTGGGCTTTGTAAATGTCTGTGTAAGGCGGAACATGGCGGAGACGTCATAAAATGAAGATTAGTGTCCATGGAGATATTCTCAGCATTCCTGCTATTCCCTACGGAGGGGCATGCTTCCGCGTGATTTTTATACGTGCATTTCCCTTTCCCTAGGTGGCTTCTGAGAAAGAGAAAAGAACATATTTCATGATTTCCCCCTTGGGGTTTTTATTTTAGGAGCTGAAAGATGACTTGAAGGGTGACCTCTCTGGCCACTTCGAGCACGTCATGGTGGCTCTTGTGACTGCACCAGCCCTGTTCGATGCAAAGCAACTGAAGAAATCCATGAAGGTACAAGCTCCAAACAAACTGATGCTCCGTGGATTTTACTGACATAATGATTAGGGAACTCTTGAGACTTAGTGGGCTTGGATGCCATTTTTGATTGTGTTCTTTAAGGGATGGTAATTATAGGGAGCTCCGTGCAATCCAGAACCCAAATGTCCCTGGGCTGTGAGGACAGTTGCATTTCTTTTCTTTCTTTCTTCTTCTTCTTTTTTTTTTTAAAACAAAATACTCAGTCTCTTTTTTTTCTTTCATTGGACATAAATATCATCATTCACCCATCACTTAGGCCCTATGATTTGTATTGTTGTTAGCCCCTTGCTTTCCTTGACCCTTCAGAATCCCAGTCTTTCACCAAGTTCACATGAGCTCTGCTCTACAGTCTACTGTAACCGGCTGTCCCATCCAGGGCTTCCCCTCTGCTGTGGTCACCTGCCCCTCTTGGTTATACTATGTCAGTACCCTAAGAAGGTTCCTTCAGCCCCACTTCTGTCCATTTGAAACTATTCTCTATGGGACGGGCAAAATTGCTTTTATAAAGATGTTTTAAAGCGAGGCGATGTCATTCATCACCCTAAACCTCCAGTGAACACTTAAAACCCATACTTCTTATTACGTTCATCACCCAAGCCTGCATCTTGTCTGTCTGCGATTCTTTTAAAAGCCCTGTCAGCCAGCATTCCCTGGAGAAATAGAGCCATTAGGCAGACATTTATATTAAGAAATTTACTGTAAGGCACTGGGTATACCTTGTGAGTTTGGGTGTAAGGACTATACTCTGAAGAGCAGGTGATCAGGGAAGGCCAGATACCTCAGCAGTCTCTGAAGCTGCTGCTTACAGGGACAGCCCCTACTTCAGGGAAGCCTTGGCTTGCCCTTAAGAGCCGTTAGCAGAATGAATCAGGTCCAGTCAGAACATAGAGTGTCTGAAGTGCATCCCACTTAAAATCAACTGATAATGAACTTTATTCATAAAATACCTCGACAGCAGCACACAGGTTAGCATCTGTCTGGATAGCCAGGGACTGTAGCCTGATCAAGCCGCCACATAAAACTGACCACCACACTTCTCCTCTTCTCCCCGTTCTATGGAGCTTGCTTCGCTGGCTTTTTCTCTGCTTCTTGAGCATTGCCAGCATCCTTGCTTGGGAGTCTGTATCCGTGGTGTTCCCTCTGGATTCCTTCTCTGCAGATATGATTTACTTGATTTTATTGTTATTGTCTGTTGGGGGAGGCTGTTTGTTCATTCCCAGCTGCCCAGAAGAGAAATAACCACCCAGAAACTGTATTAATTAAATCACTGCTTGGCCTATTGCTTAAGCGCATTTCTGGCTTACTCTTATATCTTAAATTCACCCATTTCTGTCATTTTATATTTTACCATGAAGCTTGTGACCTGCCGGCAAGGTTCCAGCTCGCAGCTCACATCTTTCCCTTCTGGCGGCTATCTGGTATCCCCTGACTCTGCCTACTCTCTCTACTCTGTTAAGCCATTGGCCGAAAGCAGCTTCTTTATTAACCAATAAAAGCAACACACAGACAGAAGGACTTCTCACACTGTTTTCCTTGTTATGTTTAAATAAAAAGGAAGGTTTTAACTTTAACATAGTAAAATTATATATAACAAAACAGGTATCAAGCAAGAATTACAGTTACAATATTTATATCTACTTTATCTTTTATCATAACTAAGGAAGAATAAAACTATCTATTCTTCAACCCCATCAAAGACCCCAGAAGGATATAATATTACCTAAGTTAACAAGAAGTGCATTTTAAGCAGCTTCCAAAACTTTAGAATTGACAGAACATCTCACTGCCTGGACAGTCACCCAAAGTTCTTCTGTGTTGTTGGAGCATCCATCTTCAGCCTACAGGCCCATAGTGTCCAGCAGACTTTTTCATGGAGCGGGAAATTTCAAAAACAGTTCTACCTGTACCGGCAGTTTGTCAGTCACTTTCCTCTGTGTCCTGCAGAATCTCTGGCAGTTCTTTCATGAAGCAGGAGCCCCTAAGGACTGTCTCACCTTCTTCAGGCAGCGTCAGCAGTCATTTAACTCTGGTCCAGCAGTCCAGGCAAGAGCGGCTTCTTGCCCCAATGGTAACAAACTCCATAAGGAGCTTCTTTGATGCCCATCTTCCTCTTGAAGTAGCTGGTGCAGCCAAGAGCAGATGTGTGTCATTGTCATGAAAAGTCCTAAGTTATTAAAACATTTTAAATGCCATATTTTGAAGATCTTTGAAAGATTTGAAGAATACCTATCTAATTGAAATATATTTCTATATATCTATAAAACCTAACTAGCATGACTACAAGTTTGACTATTATAGATGATTATCTATTAACCTATATTTCTTAATTATACATTACATTTTAAGATGAGCTGCACAAACACAACACCTTAATCAAGAGCAGAAATATGCATATAACAAAATTGGCCTAAAATTTATATCGATAGACCAAGATCCATACCAGTGCAAAGTATTCATATCTGTAGCATATCCCCCTTTAAATGTAAAAAAGCATTTATAAACAATACTTGGGAATATAGGTATAGTTCTCTCCAAACTGCTTCCTGCTTTTTGTTGGGCAAGGTAATTTTTTAGGGGATGTTTACAGCAACCTTTCAGTTGTTCTTGGTTCATCAAACCACATTAGTCTGGGTGGATTTCATAGGTTCTCATCCTCTGTGGAAACAAAATAAAGGAAACTTTTTCCAAAGCAACAAATCCTTAGACTCAAATTTTGAAATCAGGAAACCTGTAAAATATTTATGTTGGTTTAGCTTAGCAGTCCCCAGAATCAAATGTCTCTCTGCAGTCAAAAAATTTAAACAAAGCACAATAATATACATAATCCAAATTCTCTGTGTATATTCCATTTTTACGTGACTGAATTTTCTTACGCTATTATGACTGTCTGTACTCTTTTTAAATTATATTTACTGTCTCTTTACTCTTTTTCTTCTCTCTCCCAAGCCTATGTACATTTTTTTAAGCACACTGTGATCCATTTAGAGGTCTTTTCTATCTGGATTTGTCTTTATTGCATGCATAGTGCAATTATTTTCTGACCAGGAGGTTTTTTTCTTTTCTTTCTTTTTTTTTTGCTAAGCAGGCATGGCTATGACCAAGGCTGCTTTGCCTTTTGGCTCCACCCAGTCCAGCATGGGGGTGGTCAGTTCACTGTCTCTGTGAGCTGTGCACACCACCCCAGCTCCAGGTGCACTGAGTGTCTATGTTGTACCATTCAGCAGTTTGCAATACTCTGCTCGCGAACCCCATTCAAGGGCTTGGTCTCCTGAAAGAGCCAGAGTTCGTGCTGACAGCATGGACCAGGAAGCTGTCATTTTGAAATCGTATGATTTTTTTTGTTTGTTTGTTTGCTTTTTTTCTGTTTTTGCTACCACTGAATCAGGAAGACCTCTTCTAAAGGAATCATGCCTCTGCTTGCTTCTCTGAAAAAAAAAAAAAGATGCGATTACCAATAAGCTGCATTAAACTCTGTTTTTTCATGTCTATAATTCCTTTTTTAAGCTTTCTCGGGTTTTTATGTGGATGTAGTTACCCACTTTGGTGTGCCAATTTGTAGGTGGAAGCCACTTGTTCATTCTCAGCTTCCCAGACCATGAAATAATCACTCAGAAACTATATTATTTGCAATACTGTTTGACCAATAGCTTAAGCATATTTTTGGCTAACTCTTACATCTTAAATGAACCCATATCTATTAATCTGTGTATCGCCATGTGGCCATGACTTACTGGCAAGGTTCTGCCTCCTGTGGGCAGCTACATGGCTTCTCCCTGACTCCACCTTCTTTCTCCTAGTGTTCAGTTTAATTTTCCTGCCTAGCTATATTCTACTAAGCCACTGGCCAAAACAGATTTATTCATTAACCAATAAAAGTGCCAGATATATAGAAGAACTTCCCACACCAATTTTCTTTTGTTTAACTTTCATTTGTGTTTACTTTATACTGAATTTGTTCCCACGCCAGACGTTTTGGGGTTTTTTTTTGTTCTGTTTTGCTTTTCTGGGATCCCCTTTTCTTCTGTGCAGGCTTCTCTTCTGGTGTAGAGCAGTTTGTTCATCTTTGATGAGGGTCCTCTCCGTGCAGGTAGCTCAGGTAACCTGATCCTATTAACTCAAAGAGTATGGGGAGCCTGGGTGGTTTAATCACCTGGCTATGCTGAATGACCGTAGAAGCGACACAATCTGAATCTCAGTGTATGCTCTGCACTTTCAAGTGTGTGTTGCGAACATTCAGAACCTCTTTTGGGCCATTGACCTTGTTCTCGTCCCGTTTCTTCCTGGGCACGCCTATCTCAAGTCCTATACTGTGTCAGTGGGATGGTTCCCTTTAAAAAAGGAAAACAGCAAAGCAAAGCAAAACAAGGTCTCCCTGCATGGCCCAGATGGCTTTTCACTCACACCTGCCTGCTTTGCCTTTCCAGCTATTGGAATTACAAACATCTAGCCACAACGCCTTCCATGTGACTTGTATAAAGTAATATTCTTCAGGTAGTTGGTAGGTAGTTGTGCACCCTGGTGGCGTAGGCAGTTTGGCAGGTAGGTTTTAAGATTTGAACCTCTCTTAATTTATATGATTCTGTGGGGTTTTCTGAAGTGAGTGAGCAGTGAACCATGTTTGTAGATTACCACAGGGCCCCTCAGAGAAAGAACCTTTTATTTCTCTTATTGCTGCCTAAAACGCTCTCTTCTTCTTTAAAGGAACATTTTTTTTGTCTTTTTTTCATATAACTAAGATGTGAGTCTTTATCATGTTAAGGTAACCTTACAAGCTATAGTCTCTATTTCATATTCTACATCAAAGTCTGAGATAAAGTAGATGGGAAATGGAGGGAAAGGGGTCTAGGTATGAACACAGTCCAGATACTGGCCTCCCATCCTCGAGAAGAGGCTCCTTGCTTTCTTCTGGAAGGCGTATGAGCATCTGAGAAGCAGGTGGCCGGCTGGAAGCCGGTGATGCAGATTTTCTGTGAGAAATGCCTGTGAAGGACAGAGAGAGACAGCAAGGAAAACAAGTGAGCCTTAAGGCTGCACTGAGGGTCTGACCCCTGCGGGAGAGCCCCAGCACACGCACATCTCTGAGAAAGTGCGGCAGGCAGCAGTGGCGTAGGAGAGGAAGTCCATGCTGAGCAGGAGCAGTCCAGCTCTGGTACCTCACTCACATCTGCTCGGTCAGTTACCAGGAGCAACAAGTCTTTGTCATGAACTCTAAGAGCCAACCCAAAGGCGTGGCAGTAGGAGACCGGTAGCAAATAGCACCCATTGCAGCAGACAGTCCTGAAGTGAAACGTGAACATTGTCTGTCAAAGGCTTCCACGTGGGGAGAGCTTAGCATCTTTTGGCCAGATTCACTGACCTGTATTGGAAAATGCTCTCTTTGGTTAAAAGGAAATCAACAGTAAGGACTGTGGACTGTGAGTGGTGACAGTACCGTTATCAAACCCTTTGGTCTTGGGCTCTCCCATCTTAGTCCCTGGATACGTCTTGGCTAAAGTTGGCAACCGTAGTCAACTACAAAAAAAAAAAAAAAAAGGATACAGAAGGTTATAGATTCTCTGTAAGGGTGCTCCTAGTACTTGCCTACAGTTATTCTGTATATTTTACCTTAGTCAGAATTTCGTTGTATGAATGATTTTGGTGGCAGGCACCCTGGACAGAACTGGATTTGTTTGTAAATTTCACTGGCTTTATTTGATCAAATCCCACTGCAAACAACGTACAGTGTGTGTCAGGGACCTTGATATAAACAAGGCTTAGAGGTAACTGGGCTCCAAGCTAGCAAAGCCCATGACACATATTTACTGAAGATCTGAAAACTTCTGTGGTTGAGAAGGCTGGGACATGCTGACCAGCCCTGCCCAGAAATGTAAGGATGAAGGCGATCACAATCGCTGTGGAGCCTTTTCTATACAGAGAGCTACGTGAACTTAGTAGGCGGAACCTATTAGGCCATCCTGTCTGACTGTTAACGGCACAGGCGTTTTCCTCTATGTAGAATCATTTGACTTCCTTTCACACTGGAGTAGGGCACTTCCTCGAAACACTTGATGTCGGCTTACTCCAGATGAGTTTTTGTTTTAATTCTAAGATGCACGAAAAAGTCAGAAAACCACTGTAGAGCAATACGAGATCTTACATCAGTTTGCTCAGAGCTGCTCTTTCATCTGTACAAAATAAGATATTAAAGCTGAAAAGCATGAAATTAAGTTTTTTAAGTGTTCTAAAATTTAGATTTTTTTTCCTTGTTAGGGCACTGGGACCGATGAAGATGCCTTGATTGAAATCTTAACCACCAGGACAAGCAGGCAGATGAAGGAGATCACGCAGGCCTACTATACAGGTGAGCTTGTCGTCTTCATGCCTTTACTAAGCCGATTGCACAGGTGTGAGCCAAGTTGCTGCTCCTAGCATCCCACCCATCACAGAGCATCTTGAGAAGGCCGGAGGTAGGGAAAGAGATGTGCATTCTGATATGGGCTGTGCATTCCTAGGGAAAGTTAGAATATGATCTCCTACATAACATCTTGCATGTATAGTGGTATCGCTTCAGAGGACTCTGCCCTCAGCAACCACTTAATTGAGTCAATCATTGTCATCAATATCAGAGTCTCAAGTCATCGTATACTTCTCCTGTAAGCTGAAAACTGCTCAGGATCATGATTTTTGGTATGGGAAGTTTGGTAAGCCATTTACGGGACGTGCTGAGTATTTAGGTTCAATATAATTGACTGAAGTCCTAAAAGTCTGTGTAAAAATCAGGTCCTCATGCTGTAATTCTGCGTCTACTCAGAGGTAGTAAAAACCTCAGCCACCTCCTTTCAACTCAGTCCCAAGCTCAGACGCTGCCAGGCCACACATGTCTCTAACCAGTGGCCTACAAATCCAGGGTTCTCCCTGTCCATTCAGGTTCAGACGCTCACGAAAAGTCACCCTAAACTCCAGAAAGGGCCACCCTCTCAATGACAGTTGTGTTATGAAGGATGTGAATCATGGCCAGCCAAATGACAAGACACACATAGGGGTCTGAGAGGCCCCACTAGAAATCTTCTACTCTACCGGCACATTGACAAACAGTTACCACCCACGTGCTCACTTGAACATTGAGAGCCACTGGTTTTAATCAGTGTTTGTTACTCAAATGTGATTGGTTGAATCATTGTCCATGTGATTGAGCTCAGCCTATAGACTTTCCTTAGAGCTTGAGATGACTTTGAGTCACATGACTCAAAGCCTTTCTAATCCTACTGCTTTCTATTCTTAGTTATCTTGTTAGTAAAACTCAGAAGAATAATGTGAATAAGAGACTCAATTACCAGAGGAAAGTGAAGATTTATCCTAAGAACCAAGGACCAAACAGCAACTCAATTACACAACAGGCCCATAGTGTTCTCTTAAGTACCATGATGGTGCCAAGCTTTCTAAACTTGTGTTTATAAGAGGTTCACTTTTGCTGTAAGAAAAGCCCACAGAAACAGGAATCCTGGACCTCAGATGAGGATTAGAAAGGTTATTTTGAGAAATTCTTATTAAATGATAGGTACCTAAATTATAGGTGACTAATTTGTTATTGTCATACTAATTAGAGTCCAGTCAGGAAAAAAAAAAACCACAAACAATACTAGGTATTTTAACAGAGAGAGTTTATTAGAGATAATTGCATCCATACTTTTGGAAAACAGGAAAGAAAAAAAACAGAAATAGAAGACAGAGGGTAATATACCAAATACCTCCTGAGGTAAGGACTCCATGGCAAAGAAGTTGGCTTAATTGAAATTGTAAATTTGGGAGGACGGTACCACCTATCTGGTGTTGGTACCCCAGGAACTCAGAAGACAAGCTTAAGGAAGAATTCAGATTTCTAGGAAGAGGACCCCACCTGTCTGAAGCTGGTGCCTCTGTGGTGTTGCACACAGTTTTCTGCAGAGGCCATGGCTGCCTCTCAGGGAGGAACTAACAGCAAAGGCAGGTGGGCAACACACATTTCTTCCTCTCCCTGCCCACTGGTCTCCCTTCACTCCCAGCCATCAGGGGAACTTAAAAGGAAGCATGTGAATTTGAAGTAGATAAGAGAACTGGCTAATAATAGGCACAAGTGGGTACATAATTAGTGTTTATGGTGCTTAAGGTTTTGGCCTGGTAAGATGACTTCATTGGGTAAACATTCTTCCAAGCCTGGAAATGTAGTTTAAATTCCAGGGACTCACATGATAGGAGAGAACTTATTCCAAAAGTTGTCCTCTGCCATACATGGGCCATGGTGCATATATGTGCGTGCATATCACACACACACACACACACACACACACACACACACGTCTAATAACGAGTATAAAGTTTTTATGGAGTCCTATAATGGGAAATGGGAAAAGTGACCCATGCATACAAATCTATCATAGGAGGTCATCAACTTAGCTTTCATAAAAGTAACAAGCTGTCTCATCAGCGAAATGACACAGTGGTCTAAATAAACAGCTAACAACTTTTCCCCAGTATTCTGATGTTACTGGTGTGTGAAAGAACACAGATCAGGGATCCAGAACTCTTTTGTTCTAGTTCAAACTCCTTCCTAATGCAACACCATCTGCACTCTTACCCTGCTATCTTAGTTGGGACACCATGCCCACGGCAACTAAATAAAGGAAATATTTTTCCTAAAATATTAAATAATATTATTAAATATTTAAATAATATTTAAATTTATTAAATATTAAAATAATAAATAAAGGAAAATATTTAATTGGGGTGATTCACATACAGCTCAGAGATTTAACCCATTATTGTCATGGTGGGAAGCAAGGCAGCATGCAGGCAGACCTAGTGCTAGAGAGGTAGCTGAGAGGTACACATCTTCACTCACAGGCAACAGGAAGTGGTCTGTCTCACTGGATGTGGCTTGAGCATATAAGAGACTGCAAAGCCCGCATCCACAATGACACACTTCCTCCGACAAGACCACATCTGCTCCAACAAGGCCACACCTCCTAGTAGTGCCACTTCCTCTGGGGGCCATTTTCCTTCAAACAACCCCATCTGTTATGCCTCAAAATGCACTAGGCACTTTCAACTGTGTTGGAATTGTTTTTGCATGATTTTTAAATTTATTTTTTATCATAATTATTGGCACCTATTGGTTGTACATATTAACGAGTATCATTGGGACATTTCCATATATTTGCATGTTGAACAGTAACCATGTCCAACCTTCCTCCTTCTACTACCTTCATTTTCCTTTTTTGTTTGTTTGTTGGGTCTTTTTTGTTTTGTTTTGTGTAGTGATATTTCATTTGTATTGTAATAAATAAAGCTTGCCTGAAGATCAGAGTAAAATAGCCCCACTGGTCAGCTTTACAGACCAGGCAGTGATGGCACACACCTTTAATCTCAGTAGCCAGACTAGTTTGCTGTAGAAACCGGTGGTAATGGTGAACACCTTTAATCCCATCCCTTGAGAGGAATATAAGATGGGAGGAGACAGCTCTCATGCACAGTCTCATTCTAAGATTCCTGGAGGCAGGATCACCATTTCAGACTGAGGTAGAGGTAAGAGCCAGTGGCTGGCTGTTTTGCTTTTAAGACCTTCAGGTTGAACCCCAATTTCTGTCTCTGGGTTTTTATTAATTGTGCTATAGTTTTGTTTTTGGTTTTGATTTTTTTGCTGTTCTCAGAGACAAGGGGTTTCCGAATTGTATAGTCCTGACTGTTCTAGAACTAGCTCTATAGAGCAGGCTGGCCTCAAACTCATAGAGATTTACCTGACTCTGCCTCCTGCGTGCTAGGACTAAAAGCATTTGCTACCACTGCCTGACTTCATTTTCATCTTTTAATTGTCTAACTTTCTGCAAAATATGAGGTGAGGAAGGAAGCTGGGAGACTGCATGGTGTGAATATTAAGCCTTATCTAGATAATTCTAAAATTACAAATTACTCCTCCAAATTCTGAAACACACAAGCCTTGGTTTTTTGACTTATCTTTAGATTTAAATTTTTTTCTAAGTAGAATGTAGGGTGGGACAACAATATTATGACTGGTAGGCATATAGAATCACCATTTATATCTCTAATGGCTTGTGTTTGCATGAATGTCTTCAAAAATGGTAGATTTCATTAAAAAGAATAATCATTGATTGTAATGAGCAAATTTTTGCTATTAGACAATCCTACCACTTTCTGTATGTCGTCATTGATTGAAAGGTGATTTTTCACGTGAAAAGTTTATTTGGTGTTAGATGGGATCCATATTGCCTCCTGCTGTCATCTCCATCCAGTTATGTATTAGCAGCCAGGGAATCACTACTCCAGGGGCAGAGCAAACATTTTAAATTGTGGGTAGAGCAGGAAATGTTGCTCATTGGTAGTGCCGTTGCCTGACATGCACAAGACCCTGGGCTCAATGCCCAACAGTACAAAATAATTAAAATCAAATTCAAGGCTGGAGAAATGGCTCAGAGGTTAAGAGAATTTGCAGCTCTTACAAGGGATCCAGGTTCAGTTCCCAGCACCCACACGGTGGATCACAACAATGTAACTTTTGTTCCAGGGTGGAGCCTGATCCCTCTTCTGATTTCTGTGGGCACCTGGCACACTCAAAATGCACATACATGCATTCAGGAAAAACGCTTATACACATAAAAAAATATATAAATCTTTAAAAGTAAGACTAAAAGTTAAAGTGGACAGTTTACCTTACCATGAAAAGGGTCCGTAACTAGTGCTTGCTAAAATATATGAATAAAGCTGTCATTGGTTAGTCCAAAATAGTATTAGGGGATGGCTTTCTTAGTTTTTGAGCAACAATAAATAATATAATTTCTTAAGATGAAAGTTAGTGTGACTCACACATGATCAATGTTTAATCTAGGTAGAGGTGGGGAGATTGACAATTCTAGACTAGGATGAGAGCTTGTCAAAACTTTCAGAAACTGAAGCCCCACCTTTCTTATTGATGGAAAGCTGCCTATGCTTCGGGCCTCAATCCACATAATGGCACCCTTTGAATAGATTTCCCAGCAAAATCATTTATGTCTGCCTACATGTGATCACGAACTTAGTAAATGGGCTACACCCACCTCAGAGGGACACTGAGAACAAAGCCTCAGACTGTTTGAATCACCTCTACCAAAGGTTTTGTTCATGTGGAAGAACGAAAAACCTGGAGGCCAATCGGCAGGTTCCTACCCTGTGTGTCATTTAGAGACACTGTCAGATGGACTGGACCACAGTTCTTCTCAGTGTTTGCCTCTCAGAGCACACAGCAGAAATAAATCACCGCCAGCGCAATGCCTGCACCACACACTCCCACACCAGCGGAGCACCAGGACGCCAAGCAGAAAGAATACTCGGCCACCGCGCTCCGCTGATACTTGGTCACCGCGCTCTAATGTGCAGTAGTCTTTTCTGTTTCTCATGACTAAATCTCATTCTCGTTTGTTTTCAGTGTATAAGAGGAGTCTCGGAGATGACATTAGTTCTGAAACATCTGGTGACTTCCGGAAAGCTCTGCTGACTCTGGCAGATGTAAGGCTTTACCTTTCATTATTTACCTTCCCCAATAAGCTGCAAGCTCAGAAATCGTTTTCAGGAAGTTAACAAAACCAAATATAGTAAGTTTTCCATTTTCCTGTGAAATGATTTGTTCATATAACATTTGCATTGCCAACATGAATAAAAGATTAACCAAGACCACAAAAGCTTATACGGTGACATAACCACAACAGAAGTCTCCTTTGGGTCGGATCTGTCTGGAGATTAGCAATGATTCCACTGAGATTCAGCATGCTGTCACTATATGACACCCACAGAAACTCCTAATTGCTCATTTTCAGCATGTCTGCATCTTTAAAACATGTAGATTTCCCTCTGGATTCCAAAGAATACTTATTTTGTTTAAATTAAGTGTAAAGGCATAGAAGAACTGTTCTCAGAGACAGTTAAACCCGGAAACAAAGTATCTGTTTTAGGGCTTTGTCTCTGTGACCTTGGAAAAGACATTCTGTGAGCAGAGGAGGCCTTTGGCTCACTTTACTTGAAAGGTTCATGATTTCAGTAGTAAAGACGGGACCTGCAGAGGCACTATCACAGGTAAGGGGACTTGCCGATGACTCTGGCAACCAGGATTCCATCCCTTGAACCCATGGAAACGTGGATAAAGAGAGAATTACCTCCATAGAGTCGTTCTCTGACCTCGTCACTTGCACTGCGCCCCCACCCCATGCACATAGTAATCAATAATCTATATATTTGAAAGATGCTAGAGTCAGGGCTGGAGAAATGGCTCAGCAGTTAAAGTACTAACTGTTCTTCAGAGGACCACGGTTAGAGTTTCAACAGTCACATGTGTTGGCTCACAATCACCTGTAATTCCAGTCGCAGGGGATCCTGTTCCCACTTCAGGCATGTATGTGTGGGTACAGGCATGCATATGGTGCTCAAACACACATGCAGGCTAGACACCCATACACATAAAAACCAAGGTGATAAAATCAAGGATGAGACATATTCCTGGGCTCGTGTAAGAGAGGACGTGATTAAAGCCCTGTCTCGCTGATTTCTGGCAGCTGATTTACACAGCGCCTGATGTGTGAGCAAGTCCCCAGGGGCTCAGCATGACGGCTGAAGCAGCACTTGCCAAAGTGAGGTATCACGCAGCTTGGAAATAATTCACCCTCATTATAGCTTGAGGTGCTTTAACTGCTGCAAACCTCGGGAAGGTTGAATCCACAGACCCAAATAGATGAAGGGCGGTGGCAGACAAGGTCTAGGCAGTGCACAGCTCCGTGTGTGGTGTGAGCTCACCCGCAGTAAGCAGGAGCAAGTGCTCCAGGGCTGGTTTGACAGCAAACAGAACAGGACCCTCCCACCGCCTAATGGCTTTCTGTCCCTGCACAAGTCCCCTGAAGCTTTAAGGAATTTGTGTTCATGCCTGTGAAATTACACTTCAGGTAGCGTTAACCCCTTACGGAGTTCTGAAGGTTAACAGAGAGTAAGTGAGGTGCTGAGTGCAAAGAAAGGGATTAGCCTGTTGGGGTTTACTCAAATGGTCTGCGGATTTAAACAGATGTATGAGTGTACCGGCCATTGCAGTCTCCTGCAGAAAGGTTCCGTGCTTTAGGAAGTCCGTCTTCTGCCTGTTTCTGTCGCTGTTCTTCTCTCCACAGGAGCTACTCATCTTTTCTGCTCCTAGTTTGCCTCTTGAACGATGTCCAGTAGTTGACGTCACTCCTTATGAAGCCTTTTCAGAGCAGCTCCCAACACTTAGCAGTATGCTGGTCTACGTGGTTTAGAGACCCGTCTATGATAGCTGGGGTTTACTTATTTTGAATGAGTGAATTGCCCAAGCATATAGCAAACAAAAATAAAAGAATAAATCAAAAGTAGCAGCAGAAAGACAGAAAAACATCAAACTGGGCACTCGTCATCCGGCAGAAACCCCTGAAACATCCCAAGTAAGAGAGTAACAAAAGGTAACCCTGTCAAATTGGTAATTGCAGAGATCCAGCAGAAGTCAAATGGGAAAAGCCAGTTGAAACAGTCAGCTCGAATTCTGGGATGAGAGTCCTGGGCCCCATTCCAAGCAAAAGAACAATCATCAGGCAGCAAATAGACTATTACCATCTAGCACAGTGCTTCTCAACCTGTGGATCGTGATCCCTTTGGGGTTGCATATCAGCTATTTCCATTACGGTTCATAACAGTAGCAAAATTACAGTTATGAAATAACAACAAAATAATTTTATGGCTGTGAGTCACTACATCGCGAGGAACTGTTGAGGGTTGCAGCATTAGGGAGGTTGAGAATCACTGAGCTAGCACAAACGGCTGGGGATGCCCTGATCAGTCACGCTAAAAAAAAGTTCCTGGCAGGGCTGAGTGTTCTCCACTGTGAGCTTCAGCCTCCTCTTTCCCACTGTGGACATCATAATATTATGGGATAGACAATAGTCACCTTTGGATGGAGATAGCATACGTTTTAGTTATTCTCAAAAACAAGATGTTTTAGCGCCTTTAGTTGTTTGCTGGTTTCCCTTTCTGCCTTAAAGAGTCAGGAGGTCAGCCTGACCCAGGACAGGGGCATTTGGAGGACACTCGACATAAACATGCTTGGGCCTGAACATGGAGAATCAGTGTTGTTTCCAGAGCCAATTTCTCAGTGACCTCAAACAGCAAATGACAGTTTACCAGTATAATGGATATTGCATTTTTTTTTTACAACTGACCAGCTTGTGTCTAATTTTACCATATAGTACTTTGTTGTATGAACTACTTATCAGTTGAAAGGTGCTTGGTTGCTTCCAACTTCTGTCAATTATAAATAAAACTTCAGTTAAAAATTTATCTGCAAGCTTTTGTATGAACATGTGTCCAACTTGCTTAGATGAATGTCAAGGAGCACAATCGCTGGATCATACTGTAAGAATATACCCAGCAATGTCAGAAACTGCTGGATGGTCTCTCAAAGCGCTTGTGACACCTTACATCTCCACTAGCAACGAATGCAGAGCTCCTGTTGCTTCTGGTCTTCCCCAGCGTTTGGTGCTGTCGGTGTTTTGGAGTTTAACCATAATAGTAGATCCTGTGTTAGTCCCCAGGGACAGGATGAAAAGTAGCTTTCCACACACTTTCTTGCTATTTATACATTTTCTTTGATGAGATGTCCCCTTCGATCTTTTATTATCTTTTAAATTGGGTTGTTTATTATTTTCTGACTGGGCCTCTAAAGTTCTTTATATATTTTGAGTATTGGTCTTTTATCAGATATGTTTTGTAAATATTTTCTGTCCGTGCCTTCCTTCCTAACACCTTTGAGCTTCCAGAGGAGATGGAGGTCCTAGATTGTGTGCCTGCTACGCTGACTATCAGTGGCAGAGACAGATCTGCAGCCAAGGGTGCCCGATGCTTCTCTGCTACATAGTTCACAAGAAAAAAAAAATCTACCAAGATGAACTGCTGGTTTGAGTTCTATGTCCTTAAAGGATTGACCTTAGTTTGTTTTTGTTTTTAATCATCCCTGCTGATTTAGGGTAGAAGAGATGAAAGTCTGAAAGTGGATGAACATCTGGCCAAAAAAGATGCCCAGGTTAGTAATAACCAGGAGAATGTCTCTTTTACATACACTGTTGATGGCTTCTGCAAAAGAAGGCACTACCTAGGCCTGTCCTCTCCCGTCCTGTCTGAGTCAAAGCCTGGGGACAAGTGTCATCCACCCAGCCTCTGCCAGCCACTGTGCTGGTGACCATCCATCACTGCCACCACCACCACCACCAGGTCCTGCATTTGACCTTCAGATTTGAAGTCTGAATTCTAGGTGGTTTTATTGCTCTCTGAAGTCAAGTAAAATTCCCACTCTTCCCCTCCCATCCCCTTGAAGAGAGAAAGACCTGCATTTGTGATGACATGCTGGGTTTCTCCCATTTGTCCAGATCCTCTATAATGCCGGTGAGAACAAATGGGGCACGGATGAAGACAAATTCACCGAGATCCTGTGTCTACGGAGCTTCCCTCAGCTGAAACTAAGTATGACTCAAGTCTCTTACTCTACGTTGCTTGTCCAGATGTCTTCGCAGTTTATGTAGAAATCCTCTTAGGAAACCAAATGGAAAAGTTGCGTTTTAACTCAAGGCAGCACCGACATTCTCTTTCATTTTTCCTTGAAGACTGAGTAGGCTGCCTACCCTGTGAGTAGCAAGTGATAGATGAGAATGGAGAAGAGAGAGGCAATCCTGCTGAGAGCAGCAGGCTGGTTGCTGTGGGGTGGAGGCGCTGGTTACCAAGCTCTTACCCTATCTCTACCAGCTCTGCCACCTTCTGAAAAAGTCAGGCATTGAAAGGGAGTTTTATTGGTTGAGTAATGGTGATGAGAGAGGGTTTGGTGGATGGATTAATGGTGATGACAGTGGCTTCTCTCTGATATGAATGGAAATCAGTGGGAGCGAGAACCAGCTCTTCTTCTCGGACCAGTGACTGGGTCCCACCTGCCCTCTCCTTCATGTGTCTCCCTGAGCTGTTCTAGAAGCACAGAGCTCCATTTAGTATGGCCATATTATGGCAATGGCTACCAGGCTTATAGAACAGCAGTGCAGGACTGACCTGATGCTGAACTGAAAAAATAGAAAGCTTTTGCTGCAACTTTTAATTCTGAAATTGTACTTCTTTAACTTCAACAGTGATTTTTGGAAAATAATGGTGCAATATTACTATGGTCTTGGTTTGAAAAACAGAGATAGAGTGACTCCTGTATCTCTTAGCAATTTCTTTTTTCAAAATGTATTGAATGACCCATGCCTTTAATCCTACCAGGCAGGATTTCTGCAAGTTCAAGGCCAGCTAGGGCTACATAAGTAAGATTTATGTAGACTTAAGTAAGAATCCCATCTCAAAACAAAACAAAACAAAACAAAAAACAAAAAGCATCAACAAAAACCTTCTTGGAAAGAATGTACTTGACTTATGAAATCTTGCTGTACACTCGATGACATATGTACAGGTTTTACTTAAAACAAATACTGACCAAGAAATTTGAATTGCTTCTGGTAGGTGGGAAGTGGACCATAGTGCCTTAGAGACTGATTTCCTCAGCCCAAGAAATCCATACCCTCCCAGACAGGGCCAGAAGATGACTCCTCTGGTAAAAATGTTCGCCATCATGAAGGTGGCCCTTGACTTTGGTCCCTGGAACCCCTGTCACAGGAGGAGAAATCAACTCCTAAAAGTTGTCCTCTGACCTCCACACATGTGCATAGATGCGTGAGTGCATGTGTGTGCTCACACACACACACACACACACACACACACACACACACACACGCACACACACACACACACACCATAAAATTAGTATTAAATGTTTTAAGAAATCTTCCTAATCAACGTTTTTCCTCATGTAAAGCACATCCGACCTCTGGCCACAGCATTGGTTTCCTGGGGGTGCTATAATTTTAAAACAGATAAGTTATTTCACAGAACATTTCAGACTATTTTAACTGCTTCAAGCTGGTGGGGATGGGAGACGGCTGAAGAGATGGCCTAAGGAGTTCAGCCTTCATCACGCTCAACTTTTAATGGCTGAGATTCTTGCTGGTTGATCTGCCACTGCATCTTGCCATTTTAAATGTAAGATATATTCATGTGTGGCCCTCTGGGATGCTTTAAATATTTTTATGGTGCTCCTTTTCAGCATTTGATGAGTACAGAAATATTAGCCAGAAGGACATCGAGGACAGCATTAAAGGAGAATTATCTGGGCATTTTGAAGATCTGCTGCTGGCCATAGGTAAGCCCTACAGTGCTAATATATGACATTGTTTCTCCTTCTTTGAAGTCAATGTCAAGGTGAGCTAATTTTAAGCATCCTGACTGATCCGTCTCTGTGCTTTACAATCCCCAACAGTCTATGGTAAAAACAGCTATCTCAACAAATATTGTTAAATAATGCATGGAAAAGTTATGTACTTGCTTCTTACCTTGTCTTTTAAATCTGTACTTGGCTTGTTATCCTGTCTAGATTATACTCTCTTGAAAGCTGAAAATTACATGCTACTGGCATTTTTATTGAGCCTTGTGGAAACTGAGCCCTAATCAATTTGGTATCCTACCGTATGTGGTTATGTCTGGAAGATGTCAGTTTCCTCCCAGACTGGAGACAAGGTCAGAGCTATAGATCTCTTCCTCTTTGGTTGAGGAATCAGGCTGAACCCATACCCATAAAGACACATTCACTAATGAGTGGTCGGAAATGCTACTGTATATGCAGTGAGGCCTCACAGCTTGTCCCCCCAGGCTCTAAGAGAGCGCCTCAAAAGAAGAGGTACCCAGGATTCTTCCTCCAGTTGCCAATTCTCACCTCTCAAGAGGGACTCCTAACAATGATGCTTGAAATTTTATTTTTAGGCGACTTCTGTGTACTGGATACCATGTTAAACTCCTCACCAATGTCAACTCCTTAAACCTTTGACAGTGCTTCAAGGCAGGTTCATCCCCTTGGTGACACATGACACTTGGCGGGGGTCAGATTTACTTTCTTGAACTGTGAGCAGTTAAGTTTGTGAGGTGAACGGATAAAAAAGATATGGCCTTCATTTTAATGCTTGCTCAAGATCTTGGCAAGCCAGAATTTAGGAGCTTTTGCCAAGTTACAGTCTGGCCAGGAAATAGGCAATTGTGAACTTTGGTGATGGTTATAATTGAAGTGGATCCTCCAGCTTCCCTTCCGATGATGTTGGGTGCTAAAGTAAGTTTCCTTATTGCTAAGTTACTGCCACTTCCCTTATTTTCAGATACAAAGAACAAATCTTACCCTTTAGAATATAAAGAAAAGGCAGGACAATGTCCAGAAGGCATGTATATGTCTAGCTGTGGAGAGATAGTTTCTCATGCCCAGACTGCGGAGTTCCCCAAAGCCTACCAAATCCATATACAAAAGCAAAGAGCCTTTATTTAAGCTCCATCTTGGACCCTCTGTGTGTTTGACACAGGTTACGAGATTAGAGAGCCTTGAGCTCAGTTGTAGTGGTTTTTTTTTTTTTTATCATGGTAGGGGTTATAATGAGGAGATTTCTGAGGTTCAGGATCCCTGATTGACTGACATTTATCTAGGGGTGTCTTGGTGAAAGGAGATAGATGGTTATGTGCTGGGCTAAGGAACATCTGGTGATCCTATCTCCCATGTTTGGAATGTTAGGTATTTCCTTTGGAATGTTAGGTATTTTCCCTTTGGATGCTGATTGGTCCACTGCTGGGTGGTGTCTGGGTGGTGCCCTCAGTTTGTGCTCTTTCCTGGAGTCACATGTTGCCGTAGGCCTGCTTTCTGACTAGTCTATTTACCCTGTCATGGCAGCAGTATAGTCAAGCTGCCCTGGGCCTTACAAGTTAAAAAGCTTAATAAGATCAAAGTAATGATAATGGTTTTGATCAAATTCTTAAAGCCTATTATTTGTTGAAGAACATTTAGGTAGGAGTAGTGCAATGGTTGGTCTCTTGGCAGACAACATCACAGCTAAAGTTTTCCTTAAATCACTATGGACACTGTGTTAGTTTTCTGTCACTGTGAAACAATGTCATCACCAAGGTGTCTTAGAGATGAGAGGAAGGATTTATGTGGGCTTATGGCTCTAGAGGGATAGGAGGCCACAGAGGAAGGGACAACATGGCAGCAGACTGCGGGCGCAGCAGACTGCGGGCACAGCAGCGGAAACAGGAAGTTCAGAGCTCACATCTTGAACTACATCCTGGAAGCAGAGAGACAGAACTGGGAATAATTTAACTCTTAAAGCCAATGATATAGTTTCTCTAGCAAGGCCACACCTCCTAAACCTCCCCAAACAGTGCCATCAGCCGGGAGTCAAGTGTTCAGATCTCAGAGACTGGAGGGCACTTACCGTCTGTCATGTAAGCACTATAAGGAAAATAAAGACTTTTTCTGAGCCCCAGGCTTTATTATAAAATCCGTTCACTCCCTTTGGTCAGATTCCTGCCTGGACAGAGTTAAGAGCCTGGAAACCACTGTGCTACGTGAATAAGTTTGGCCTCTGTAGACTTTGCTCTCCCTGTGTTTTTACTTTATCTCGAGGAAGATTCATTTGCTTAAGTTTTTGTGAATCTATTCTTTCTGGTTTGCTGTTTTGCTAGCCATTTTATAATAACTATTTGGAACACTGCAGCATATTTTTAGATGGTTTGTAGTTGTTCTAACACAGTCAGTTTTGCTAGCCTATCTCTCCTAGTCCATTCATTTTAAAGGAAAATCCTTCTGTGGGGGGACTGAGTTCTACATTGAAGCTCAGTGCCCTTTCTATGCAATGAGTTGTCTCTGGCCACATCTCCATAGTCATTAGGAGCCCAGGCTATCTATTGGTAGCCAGAGATGTTGAAACTGAGTTATGGTACCCCAGGAATTATCAGAATAAGATGAGGGGTGCAGTGTGTCTGAGATGTGGAGACGAGTCTGACAATGTGGGAGTGTCTTTGGCATATAATTTTATCTTCCCCGTGGCTGAAGATAATTCCCATCCTAAAGGTGTGCAAATATGACATTATGAGGCTTTGATATCCAGGATTAGCAGCTTTTCTCTCATTCTAAGTAAAAGCCAGTACTGAGATGGACTTGGTTTCTATTAAGTGAAACTAATCATTACTTTGTTGTTTTTTTTTTAATTTAACAATAAACAGTACATTGTACGAGGAACACCCCGGCCTTCTTAGCGGAAAGACTTCATCAGGCTTTGAAGGTTGGTCTGAAATTTTAGTATTGCCCTCATAGATAGCATTCCTCATGGAGGAAAAAAATACTGTTTAATATTGGTAGATTGTCATATTTCTTTTCCATTTCAGTGAATTTCTTTTTGTAGCTAATTTTTCTACTAATTTGCCTCAAAGTATAATAATAAATTCACCAGTCAGGATGGAGGTAGCTTGTGAAGCGTTAGCTGAATCATTTCCCTCACTTCCTTTGTGTAGGAAGTAGAACTTGTGGAATGTAAACCTCAAACAGCCGCTGAGAGGCATGGCCTCTGCGGTGTTCTTACTCCAAGTGAACCCAGCTGAGTCAGCAACCTGAGCAGGATACAGATGACTCATGTTCTTTTCATGTCTTTATTCCCTACAACCTGGCTAAGCTCAGAGGAAATGCTTCCTCGGTCTTAGTGGACATTTCCCATGGCTGTAAAAATAACGTCCAACTGAACATCTCTTTCCCCTCGTCTCACTCTGCCCCCCGTCCTGGTTCCTATGTCCAGTGTTCATCGGCTGTACCTACCAGAACTGGCCTTGCTCAGCTCTGGAAATCGAACATGACCTTCCCAGCCTTGTTCCTTCTGCCTCGGCCACCTCCTACTTCTTGCTATTCCCTGGTCACCAAGGCTGTTTCTCCATTGGCGTCTCTGTATTTGTCTTTCCCATCTGTAGGGTTTCTCCACCTGAGATGTGGCTGGCTTTTCCTCGTCTTTTCAGATCTGAGCTCAAATGTCTCCTTTGAAAGAACACCCCCTCCCCCATGATGTGGCCAACTGTTCTCTTTCCATCACTCCGCATTCTAGTTCCCTGGGCTTTGTTCCTCGTTCTTTTTAATATTTATTAAAATAATCAGATGATTTGCTATCTCCATCTAGTAGAAAATAAACTCCATGGGGGGACAGAATCCATTTACATCTGTGTGCATGGTGCAGAGGAGAATGCTTGGTATACAGTAGATGTCCAACTGGCACTTGTTGGATACATCAATCAACAGAGCCAGCATGCACCTAACAGCTTCCTTGAACTGGTTCATGCTCTTTCCCCGTTGTCTGCCCACCTGCAAACATCCCTCATGTCTCCCTGTTTTCTCCAGCTCTGCCATGGCCATCTCTTTACTTTACTGCAGCGGTCACATCTGGGTGGGTCTCAGGGTCTCTCCTCTTAGGCCTATCCTCATTCCGGTTCTCCTTGTAATCTGCTTCATATTTCAAATGGACTGTCTTGAAAACAATCACAGATAAGATCTAATCTCAGCATTCTTAGTTTAAAATATTGCAATAGTTCTACCCACATGTGTGGGATACAGTTAGAATTTTATCTCATGGTTAACAAGGTCTAGATCTTCCAGACGCATCATTTGTCACTGTTCATTATTTATATATCCTCAGATGTGGTGTTCTCTCTTATCCTAAACTTTCATGCTTTCATACACATGCACGCACACACACACACACACACGAGGGGGGGGGGCTTTTGCTAGAGCGATCTTTGCTTCCTACACAAATCTCCTCCTCCTTCCCTGATGCATACATACATGTATAGCATGCGTGCCTTGGCGCCTCTGTCGCAGCCTCTCCAGGGCTGGGATCACAGGTGTGCCTCACGTGTCCAGCATACTCCCACCCGATTATTTTAGCCTCCAGCGTGTATGTCACTTTCTAGAGCAGACCTTTCCTAATCTTTAGTCTTTCTCAGGCTCTGCTAAAACATACTTCTATCGAACCCAATAGCTCCCATCTGTCAGACTAATTTTAATTACTTTTTATTTAATAGTTTTCTTCGCTCATAGAGAATTTGGTACATGATTTGATGATATTCACCCTCTCACCCACAACTCTTCCAAAATCCACTCTTCTTCCCTTTGTACCAACTTTTAGTCATTTTTTCTTTCTTTCTTTTTCGTTTTTTGATCAAGGCCAATTTGAGCTGCCCTAATATTCTTGCTTGTGTAGCCTTGCACTGGAGCGTGGGAGACTTAGCAGTGGCTACACGTTTAGAGAACACTGCCCCTTTCTTCTCCCAGCAGCTAACTGTTACCAGTTGCTCCACAGCTAGAGCTGGAATTTTGTGCCTACTCTGCTGCATTCTGGGATTGGTACCAGACTAATTTTCAGTGCCTTGTTTTCTAGCCTGATCCTTCATAGCATCGAAGGCTCATTGGGGATTTCTTCTTTGTGTTCTTTGTACCACGGCTATGCTCATTACAGGGGCTCATCACACATTTCTCTAACATATGAGTGGAGGGGTTTAGAGCTAAGTGAAGGAAGAGGAGTTACTATGGTTAAGGATTTTGTGCACGATGATTTGTCTCTCATAATGGAGTTTCTGCATGCTGTTGTGCTACCAGGGTGCTGGAACGGATGAGTTCACTCTAAACAGAATAATGGTTTCCAGATCCGAGACCGACCTTCTGGACATCCGACAGGAGTTCAAGAAGCATTATGGCTACTCTCTCTACTCAGCCATTCAGGTAAGTCTACTCTGGAAACAGCAAGCACAAGCTCCCTTCCTCTGCCCACCATCTTCCTCTCCCAGTCCTTCAAGCATAGCTAGATCTGATTAGATTCCTCTCTCTTTGTCCATGCATTTTCTGAGTTTAAAATAGTTGTGCTGAAACATCCGCTAAAGGAGGGACTGGGGACTGGAGAGATGGCTCAGTGGTTAAGAGCATTCGTTGCTCTTGCAGAGGACCTGGATTTAGTTCCTAGCACCCACATGGCAACCATCCACAGCTCCAGTTCAGAGGATCTGACAGCTTTTTCTGGCTTCTGTGGGCACTGCATGCCCAAAAGTCTATGATCATTAAGAGAATTAATCCAGACTTGTTTCCTGAATCAATATGGGCACTGAGATTAAGTGAGGCTATTTAAGCAACCCAGTCACCCAGTACCACATTGACTAGGTCAAAGATCGAGTCTGGGTTTGCCTCTACCCGGGCCCCACAGGCTACATGACTCTCTTACCTCTGAGTTTTTAGATACGCTACAAACTTTCTCAGGAAAATCAGCTTTTGAGAACCAGCACCCAGAGAGGCCAGGACAAATGGGATAGCAACCAGCAGCGGGTAGGAAGTGTTGAGAGTCCCAAGATGGATGCACAGCTACAGAATTATTTATATTGTGCACATCCTGATTCTTGGCAGGATCTACCCCGCCAGCCTCTGGGACTCTTAAAGCCTGTTCCCTGAGGAGTGTGATGCCCAGCATGACCACTGGGAAAGCCTGGCCTAGGCCACGTCTCTGTATCACATTGAGTAGTTGGATGCAGCCCTACCCATGACAGACACCCTTAACCAGGCACAGATGTTAACCTTGGTGTCTCTAAGCACCTTGGGAGCATTCTAGTCTCAGGGCTCACAAATGTTTTTTTTTTTTAATAAATGAATAAATGTATTCACTTCAACCAGTCAGCTAGATCTGCTCACCACGTCCTTTGTGCTTTTCAAACCGGAGCCTTTGTTTCCATGCTAAACTTTGACAGAGAAGGATGCGTGGGTAAGTTGAAATCATAACTGAGCCCAAAGAGCCCCAGGGTCTCCCTGGGGCTTAGCAAGGGTTTCGTCAGCAGCCCACACTGGATTCCATTTGAATTGATCCTGACCCGTTACAATAGCTTCAGTCATCGTAGGAAGATTCAATAACGTTAACCGCATTGTGCTTGCTAACGCAGAAAAGCAGACTCATACGTTTTACAACAATTGTCAGTAACAAGGTTGACGCACCAGGGGGGCTTCTGCTTCACCCTCACCCGACCAGAAAATTTGATTTAGCTGTGGCTCTCTGTCCCCTCATGGTCTGGGTGATGGTGGCTCATTGTGTTAGGGGACATTTAAACTATTTGCAGTTTGGTAAAAAGAAAAACCCATCGCGAAGAGTCCAGTTTGTGCGGTGATATCCTACGGCTTCCTTTCTCTCTACCTCCTGTGCACACTGTCGGGTAATCTCGTCCACGTTTTCCGGAGCGGCCAGTGGGATCCTTAGAGACGGTTGTCTCTGAATCTCAGGAGGTAGAATTCCGTGGTGTGTGCATCCCAGCCTTGACTCTGTCATCCTCTGCTCGCTCTGGGTATTTATTTAACTGCTTGTTGACCCCTCTCATGGGTGAAGGCTGGTAAAGAGAAGGAAGGGAAGAGCATAGGTGGGAAAACCCACATCGTTTCCTGACAAGACGGTTCAGGTGTGATGACACATGCTAATGACACCTATAATTTGGGAGTGGCTGAGGCAGAAGGATTTCTGGTGTGAGGCCAGCCTATACTGCATAGTGAGGCTCTATCTAAAAAGAAGATATTAATGGAAAGTTATATGCAACTACATTTTTTTGTTAGATTCCCCTGGTCAGTAACAAAAAGTGCTCCATAAGGGCAATGCAGTGACTACCCTAAGTAATCTTATAGCCTATAATACAGACCCCATATGAAGGCTTGAAGTAGACATTAACATATGTGATAATTGAAACTACATAATCTAGCTAAGTCCTAGATATGCAGTATGGAGATACAGGAATGGACAGAAAAGACATTTTGGGGTTGGGAAGGAATATTTCTCAGAGCAATTGATCGTGAGTCTGCCTACCTGGTCAGCAACAGGAACTGGGTGCCTCCTCTGGAATTCTTCTGGTCAGCAGGCTTCTAAGATGCATCCTAGAAACAGATCCTTGGTAAGAGACAGAAGAAAAAGGAACCTTAAGTCAGTTGCTTAAATAGAAAAATCTGCTTTAGGAAATGCTCAAGCAGGAGTAAAATGAATTCCCCCAGAGTTCTGAAGTCGGAGAATCTGTGCTATGCTCATCTAATCACGGGGATCTAGTGAGTGAGTGCTATGTGCTAGACTCAGGGCTAACGTTACAAGAAGAAACATTTCTTTTTGTTCCTATGAGATTACAAATACATGTAAATATCACTACTTTAATGTGAGGACGAGAGACGTGGTGCTCAGAGATCATCTAACAGGAGGACCTGCATGACAGGAATCACTTCTGTGGGGAAATGTGATTCCGACCTGGAAAGTGACCGGGTGCTAGCAAGCAGAAGGTGTGCCTATGTGAGATTAGTTAAGCATTCTACGGGAATAACAACCAATGTAAAGATCTTGGTGCAGAAGAAACAACGAAAACAGGGTAGAAGGTCTAGGCCGTGCAGGAATTCTCTGGCATCATATATACAGTCTCGTCTGTAGCACACAGGGCTGTGAAGTCAATGCGAGTGTTGTGCAGGAGAGTTCCTTGGTCATTCAGAAGGTTCTGGTGACTGTGAAAAATGACCTAAACAGAGACTAGGAGAGATGTGCAGCAATGAGTGAGGTAGTTGCGACACAGCCACACTGGAGTTCACGTGAGCGGGGATGGTAGTCACGCAAACAAAGCCGAGAACAGAGGCTCAGCTGGGCTTGGTATGAGAAGTGAGGAGAGGGTCAAGGATGACTCACAGAATTCTCTCTCAGGAAAGAGCAAGAAGAGCCATTTCCTACAAGAGGGTCCGATCTTAGGGTAGCTTCCTTTGGGGTGGTGTGCGGAAGTTTCTGGTCTTGAATGTTTTGAGTTTGGGATGTGTTAGGAGTCAGTACTTGGAGAGGCCAGTGAAATTGTTGCTACTGCAAATATGTTATGAGAGTCAGTGTCCTGGGTACCTTCTGATGCTGCCTTAAATACCCCGAGGAAAATGGCTTCAGGAGTCAGGCTTAGTGGCACACACCTTTAACTCCGGCACTCAGAAGACAGAAGTGAGAAGATTTCTATGAATTTGAGGCAAGCCTCATCTACAGCGCACGTTCCGGGCCACCAAGGGCTACACAGTGAGACCTCTAAATAAATAAATAACCAAACGACCTAAGGGATAAAGAGTTCGCTTTTGGCTACAGTTCGAGAGAGAAAGAATCCATCAGGGCATGGAAGACAAGGCAGCAGGCAGTAGGAGGTTGGTAGCAGGAGCAGGAAGCTGGCTAATCATGGCCATCTATATTCAGAAGGAAGGAAGAGAACAGGAAGTGGGGCCATGCTGAAAGAACAAACAAACAAACCTAAAGCCCACCCCCCAGTATGAATCTGGTCAGTTTCAGGGACTTCCTGAAGCTATTTTGAGTTGTTTACCTTCCAGCTTAAGGAGCTTCCCTATGGGATGGAACGTTTTGAATCTCTAAGAACACTCACACAACAAGAATGAATGACCAGGCTCTCTGATTTGAGGGCAGCTTTCTTACACTCTGTATTTCTCATTTAATTACAATAAGAAATAGAGTTCATACTCCGCTGCATAGGGTTTGTATAAGGGTTGCCATAGTTAAAATAAGCTTTTCCTTTAAGCTTTTTATGTTGGGAATTCAACCCAGTGCCTTATGCCCATTAAGCACACTACGAACCATTGAGTAACACCTTCAGTTCTCCATGGTAAGTGTTTGAGTTGCAAATAGAAGTGCCAAATTAACATTCATTGTTACTAAACTGTAGTTTTTAGGTGTTTTGTTGGCACCTATTATGTAATATCATGTAATCGTTGAAACCTTGTTCCTTTCTTTTAAAGTCCTAGTTGAAGTTCAGGAGGATGTGAACATTATATATTGCAGAGAACGACGTAGGTAGGAGCAGAGCTGCCCTCACTATGAAAGAATGACATGTGCTGTGCCGAACAGGGGAGCTCGCCCGCCTCCTGGCCAAGGGAATGCCCTAGCACAGTGGGGTCTCATTCACCTCTAACTCCCCCATTATTTACTGCGTATTCTTCTCTGTTTGTCCTGTCCTTTGCAGTCAGATACTTCTGGAGACTACAGAGCCGTACTCCTGAAGATCTGTGGAGGAGACGACTGAAGAAGACGGTCTCCGAAGGCTACTGCCATGACCGTGGGCCTCCACAATGGCAAAGGCTCTGCCTACTACTTTTCTGCAACATTCCAGAGTGCAAGCAAAAGCAGGACTGCAGTCTGTCTGCCTGATAGGAATCATCACCATTGCAAGAGCAAAAGCAAACAGGATTTTATGTTAGAGCACCTCATTCATAATGTAGAGGGAAATTCAGCTTACATTTAAAGACCTACTAATGATTTTCTATTTTGCTTAGGAGGTTGGCATCGCTGTAGTCTGAAGTCATTAAACATAAATCAGGATTCTAAAAATGGTTGCCTTTGTTAAATATAATTTGTGCATTTGCTTTCAGCATCTATCAATACTGTGTGTTGCTTGGTGCCAACAAATATCTAAAGATATGCTTGTTGTAAATGCTGCTGCTCCTTCTATTTATCACTTTATCAGTGTGTTCTAAAACATAATAATGGAATGGCATGGTGGTGCATACCTACAATCCCATCACTTAGGAGGTGGAGGCAGGGGGATGAATAGTTTGGGATCATCTTTGTGAAGTTGCAGGAGATATAAAGAAGTCCATTAACAGCTTAGTGTGGTTGAGGCTCAGGGCTTAGGGGAAGAGAATGGTATCCTGTGGATTTTTGTCAGGGAAACAAAGTAATAATATTGGACTGGCTGTTGTCAGGAAAAACAGGATTGCTGGCAGATACTTCCAGCATTCCTTGGGAATCTGTGAAGTGGATTACTGTCTGCTAGCAAGAGCTACCACCCCATCTCCCCTTTCTCTGATGGTTGAGGCATCTGGCTCCAAGTACTACAGTGCATGCTCAGTGCCAGTGCTAATCTACGGGCTGCTTAGTTCTTACCAAACTGCTCCAGTTCACAGAATCCCCTCCTCTACCCTGCAGCTACTGCTTTTCTGTAGGACCCATGAGGTTTTCCTACTCCCATTCTTCTCTCTGCTCCAGAGAGGTAGCTCTGGCGTTTGACAGTCTGCCCCTCTCCTCTCTGCTCCAGAAACATTGTCGTGGCTGTTTCAGAATTTCCCAAAGGCCTCTGACTATTCTCTATCTTACATCTACAGTAAAATCCTTCCTCCTACCCATGCATCGGTCGGTTTTGTCAGCTTCTCTGTGTCTTCACTTAGACCTCCAGGTCTCAGCACCTGATGTAAGAGAGGGCACAGTAAAGAAATGACTGAAATAGCTACTTTGTGAATGGCAAGAAGGTTTTTATTATAAATAAGAGAGAGAAAACAGCCAGAAGCATTTGTATGGTCAAGAATTGAGAGAAAAAGAAGCAGACAGCCATGGTCAGGGCTAGAGAAATGGGCATGAAAAAATCATGTATAAGGAACACAGGTAGCCAAGGGGAGTGAACCCTGTGAGCCGCAGCAACCTGGGTGTTTAGGGTAGAGGGGGAGGTGAGAAGAGACAGGATGTGGGCTTTGAAATGCATAAGAGGTACATGTACCTGAATAAGGACCCAGGGACCTGGAGGTAGCATGGGCTTTGATGTATAACCACAGGTACATGCCAAGGAAAGTGGCCCTTTCTAGCAGGTCTCTGAGGAATACTTGGATCCTATATCCACAAGATTGTTTTATACTGAAGCAAAATATTTAAAAAGGTATTCACAGGGATGGAGAGATGGACTATCAGTTAAGTGTCCTCTTGCTCTTCCAGTGTACCTGAATACAGTTCCCGGCACCCATGTAAGGCAGCTCACCACCACCTGTAACCCCAGTTCCAGAAGGTTACAGACGGATTTACCTTCCAAGAGCACTTGAATTTATGTGAATATTGCCCCACACATACACATAATTAAAAATAGTAAAAATAGATCTTGAAGATTTTTTTTTTTAAAAAAAAGGTATTCCATAGAACATAACCCTCAATAATTGTATTTTAAGTCATGGTCGGTGGTTCATGCCTGTACTTACAGCTACTAAATTTAACTAATATTCTTTTAATTAAATTTATTTCATATAATATATTTTAATCAGTTTTACTTCCCTCAATTCTTCCAGATGCTCTGTACTTCCCTACCCACCCAACTTCTCTCTCTCTTTTATAAAACAAATCAAAGCAAAGAACCCACAAAACACACACACACACACACACACACACACACACGAAGATCAAAACAAGCAAGAAAAAAAAGTAAGAAAAAAAGTCAAAACAAAATGAAACAAAAAGATCGTAAAAAAAGAAAGGAAGAAACAAAGAAAAGAAAAAAAGAAAAGAAATCATTGTGTTAGTTGTGTATTGGCCGACTGCTCTTGGGCATGGGCACTGCCCTGAGGTGTGATTGACAGTGTGGCTCCACTGGAAAAAACCAATTCACCTTTTCCCAGAGGTATCACTTGCAAATAGCTTCTCGGTTAGGGGTGTGTTTTAGGATTTCTATTGCTGTGAAGAGACGCCATGACCTCAGAAACTCTTATAAAGGAAAACATTTAATTGAGGCTAGCTTATAGTTTCAGAGGTTTAGCCCATTATTGGCATGGTGGCATGCAGACAGACAAGATGCTGGAGAAGGAACTGAAAGTTTTACATCTTGATCCTCAGGCAGCAGAAGCAGCTGTGTACTGGGCGTATCTTGAACATACAGGAGACCCCAACACCTGCCCCCACAGTGACACACTTCCTCAATATATCAGTTAAAGAAATAGCAGCCTAGATGTCGTAGGGAGAGCCTTGGACCTTCTACAAAGCAAAGTGCCTTACTCTGCTTTAGGATTAGAGGGGGGTAGAATGGAAGGGTGTGTGGAGGGAATGGGAGGAGGAGAGGGAGTGGAAATTTGGATTGGTATTTTTTTAAAAAAATATAATAAAAAAGAAATAGGTAATAATGAAAAACCAAAAAGTGGGATTTATTCAATACAACATTCAAAAGAAGAACCAAGAAAGCTAGTCAGTGGCCCACACACACATCAATACCTAAGACACTAAGGCTGCAATAGAGGGAAATCGGTATGCATAATTAAGAGTCCTGGTCAAGGTATTGCCCCGGCCACCTTTGGCACACCGTCTAGGCTTTCGTCTGTCCTACAAGGGGGACTGACAAGTTGGCAGTCTCTTTTCTAGAGACAAGCTCCTTTTCTGGCTGATGGAACCTTTTCCTTCTCTCATCCTGACTGGGGAAATTACTTAGGAGTTCATTGTCTCCACGGTCTGATAGCCAAAGAAAAGGCAAAGTTGCCTCTCTGGAGAGTATCTTCCCACCTGCTAGGACACTTCCAAGATCTTACCTCCAAAAGAAAGAAGCTGCTGCTACCTGACTGTATACGTTATTACAGTTGTTAGTCAAGACGGGTGGTTTTCATTGCCTCCAGTTTCCACAAGGTGGCAGGTCAAGTTCAAAGCCAAACAGTTGGCTTTGTGTTCCAACGGCAAAACCTACTTGTGTTTCATGGAGGGGGCGTCAGGGCGCAGGCATCTTGCCATCACTGCAAACGCTTTCTCAAGGGACCATGTGAAACCAAAGGACATCTCTAGCGTTTTCTGGAGGGCTGCTTTTGTATGACGTATACACTAACCCTGACATGGATGGCCTTCACCAGTAAGTCAGCTCACTGAGCACTGTGCTTAGTCCCTGAAGACAGCGAAGGGGGAGCCTTGCAAGCTGGGAGGAGTCCTGGGCTTGTGACTGGTAAACTGAAGAAGCCAAGAGATTCCAGAGCAAGAATATGCTTGGTCTAGAGGTTGGGTGCAGCAAAAAACGGCAAATGAAGATACTGGATAGATGATTTTCAAAGAACCTACCTGTAAGGGCTTTTGAAAGAAATGTTCAGATAATACAATCTTGGCTTTTCTTCTGCATGTCCTCTGCCATCCATTTTCATGTCTTTGCATACCATTGATAACCTCCAATTTCTGCAATTATAATTTGTCTTGAATGCATTGGTTTTGGAATCAGATTGCCCTGGGCTCACATCTTGACTTTATACTTACTGTGTAGTAAATCAGCACATAATTCGCAAATACCCCTCCCTCTCTTTACTACCTGATACTTTAGCTAGGAATCATAGAACTTACCTCAACGACTTATGAATATTAAATGGCATGAAGAATATAAAGGACTTAGATCCATAAAAATTAGGTAGTGAGCTAGGGACATGCCTCGGTTGGTAAGTGCTTGTCTAGGATGCATAAGGCCCTGAGTGTAGTCCCCAGAACCGCATAAATCAGTAAGTGCTCAATACACATCTGAAGAGAAAATAAATAAAATTAATCTTTGTCCTTTTTCCAGTTTGTCATTGGAAGTCTTTGGGGCAAATATTCCTTTGACAGTGAGTCAAATGTGTACAGCTTGGTGATCGCAGGCTCCGACAACAGGTCCGTGGTCCAGTCAAGAGGCACGGGCTTTGATTGTTGTAAATACGTGTGAAGTTTCAGTAAGTCAGTTTAGCGTGCTCAGCCTAGGGCCTGCACCCTGTAAAGTGCTCCATAAATGCTAGCCGCTGTTCTCTGGCTTTCTTTGGAAAACTTACAATGACTTGTACTCATTCAGCTGGGGGACGTGGGATGTTGTAAAGTTCCCTTGAGTTTGCAATTATGAGAGGAGATAAAGCTGACCTTGGCAAGTCCCTGCTTACCAAGCCGTGCTTTATGAAGCGTGGAAAGTACCCCAAATTTCTTTTCAAAACTACCCAATTAGTGAGTAGACTTAGCTCCTTCCACCCACTCTCTGGATATCCCCCCAGTCCCCGAGAACTAAGTGAGTGTTGGTCGCTTTGTACTTAAGCCATTTTGCTGGTCCTTTATTTTTCCAGTTAAGGTAAGTCTAGCTTGGTGGCAGCTTCTTCACCATGAGCAGCCCTGCACCCAGACCAGAGCTTTCATGTTCTTCGATCACCTTTGCAAAGTCAAAGAGAGGGAATTTCAGAGGTCAGTCACCCAATAGCACTTCTCTTGAATAACTGCTGAAGCACACTTGAAAATGACACCTCAACCCAAGCCACCCAAACAGTCAGTTCAGCTTCGTGTGTGTGTGTGTGTGTGTGTGTGTGTGTGTGTAGACCACGCAAAAAAACTGACTGTCAATAACTGTGTGTGCTTTGTTTGGGAAAAGCTCTATGAGGGAAACCAACAAATAAACGAGCAACAAAACCACAGTCCAAAGTGACTTTGCAGAGGACTGGTATTGCATTAAAACAACAGTCGTGACTTGCCAATTGACACTGACCCCCTGAGCTGGTGGTGGACAGAAAGCTGAAACTGACATTGAGCTTAGCCAGCTCCAGCATGAAGGAGCATGCCCCAGTGAGGAGGAGAAGACAGAGAACAAAGGGAGAGACACAATGAGCACCAATCAGCACCTCCCTTCAGAGTACCAGGCACACTGGTCTACCATGTCTACTTCAGAGAGCCTCCACAGACTTCTGGTGCGGAAACATCTACTTCTTTTGTGCTGTGTTATGTTAGAAAGCCAAGCCCACAAAAGGAAAGCCCAGATCACACATTGCAAATCCTATTTAAGCAGGTGTTGACTGACCTCATCATGGAAAATGGTGACTTTGATTATTCCCACTCTAAGCACACTGCCCCGGCCTTTTATTCTTTTGATACTTAGTGCATGGTACTGTTGCAATGTGCTAGGGCTTGGAGGGTGAATGCAGTCATGCGTTTCCTGGTTTCAAGGAGCTGTGGACAGAATGTTGTGTTAGAGGGAGTACCGTAAAGAAACTGGCGACAGACACTGGTGGTGTGACCTTTCCATCAGGGAGAAGGTTTTTTCTTTTCATTTTTATTGTGGGTGCGAAAGAGAAAAGATCCAGAACCGTCTGGAGAAATATTAAGGTCCAGAGCAGAGAGAAAAAGAAGTAGACTCGACATAGCCAGTAAGGCAGACATGGCCAGGGCTGGGAGAGGGGAGCATAGCAGGTGCAGAGAAAAAAAAAAAGACTGTTATAAAGAGAAAAAAACGTGTATCCTGGAAAGAGGGATCTGGAGAGGCTAGGTGGGCTTGGAAATGTATAACAAGTACTGGTGAATAGGAGCAGAGGGAATCAGGAGGGAAGCTGTGTGTCCAAGACACACAGGCACAGGTACCGTCAACAGAGAGTCACGAGCCCCTTCTGCCAGAGGTAAGGGAAATGACTCCTTTTGGTAGATAGGAACCAGGTTCACAAGTTCCTGGGGGTAATGCTGGCTTTTCACTAATCACCGGAAATCCTACAGTCCAGCTTGAGCTGGTTTCTGGATATTTGGACAGCCTGAGACCTAAGCAATGTCACCAGGGCATTAAGGCTACAAGCCTGTCTCCTGAAAGTCCTCACAAACGAAGCTTGGCCACCCACCCATCCACAGCATGCTGATTAAAAAGACAATTGTGAAATGTAGAGAGGAGAGACTCATTTGTGTAGTCACGTTGGGAAGGAAAAAAATATTCAGGTCCAGTGACTCCAAAGTCTGCCTTTGTGTCCCTGATAATGAGATTTCGGTTTAGAAAGAAGGCAAGAGGTTCGCACAGCTAATCACTCTTGGCCAAGGTGTGGTCACTGGCTCATCACTGTTTCAGCTCTAACCTGTCCTACAAGATGATCCCACACATTGTCAGACCCTGTGAAATTCTTCCCTAGGAGACAAGATCCTCCTTTGGAACCAGGTCTTCAGTCTCTCCCTTCTCTCGGCATGAGCCTGCTGGGGAAACTCTGCTCCCTGAGGGTCAGTGTTTCGATAGCTAATGACCAAGTTGGGGAGCACAAGTGTGGCTCTTTAGGGTACCTTCCCTCCTGCTGAGGAAGTTACGTGGAGAAGGGAGGAGATGATATTGGCTAATTAGCAAGGCAATTTGGTACTTATACGAACAGTGGGGGGAGGGAGTGGGAATCTGGGTTTGCTGTGTAACCTCCTTTGCACACTGTCTGAGAATTGTAGAACTAGGCATTAGGTGTCTGAAGACATGGCTGATTTTACACGCTCAAGGCAAGCACTCTGCCACTGAACGACAGCCTCAGTCCTCCCTTTGCCTTTTATTTTGAGACAAGATCTCAT